TCCTATAGAGAATACCTAGTCCTTCAGCAAATTCTGTCATTTTGACTTGTAGGTACATATTCTGAGTTGAATCCGTTTTTTCTGCTGCTACTGTTCTTAAGTGATGTTAGGCTATACAGAGATAGCAAGACTGGCTTTGTGATAACCTTTTCCTATATTCTTGCTCTACTGCAGAGTGACTTATACAACTATTAGAGCACACCCCTTTGACTCAGAATGTTTCACATAGTATTCTATCTTTTCTAATTAAAATTTGAAGTACTAGCTGTTCAGTGCCCCATAGAATCTCTCTGTATCCTTTCTGGCCCTTCTCCTTAGTCTGCTGCCCATTCTACTCCAGCTATCCCCTCTTCCTTCTTCTCAATTCTCATTTCTAGAAACACATTTCTCAATTTCTTTTTTTTTTATTGGATATTTTACTTATTTACATTTCGGATGCCATCCCATTTCCCCTACCTAGGAACCTCCTATCCCATCCACCTTCCTTGATTTTGTTTTTATACCATTTTAATTACATGCAAGTATTAAGGTCAGTTCTCGGTTGAGAAAATAGCAATACACTAGATGCAAATAGTCAAGGAACAAGCAAGATAATGAACACAAATAGTCAAAGAACAATCAAGGCAATAAACAAAATTCAGTGAATACTCCTGTGATCACTGTTTCTAGGGGCTTATCAGGATGACCAAATTATTTGAGCCAACTTCCCTGTCCTAGCCCAAAGTCATTTTCATGTCTGAAGCCTACTTCCTTGTTCTAGCCTAAGATTTAGATCCTTGCCTGAAATTATTTCTTTGTTGTAGCCTAATATTTAGATTCCTTTCTAAAATTACTTCTTTGTTCTAGCCTAATGTCAGATTCCTGGCTGAAGCCCACTTCCTTGTCCTTGGTTAGTACTCTGATTTCTCTTCAGACTATATAAATCTTTCGCCTCTTACATTTCTCAATTTCTATATTTTTTTGAAACCTCACCTAGCTTCCCACGTTAACTTTAACTTTTAGTAATATTTCTCCATGCCCACTGACTACCCATGCTCTTTTCTCAGCATGCCATTCCACTTTTATATTTGGCTTTATTTCTCAACAATATGGCAAAGTTTACACTTTTTCATTTTCTTGTCCTATCACTCCCTTCTCTTGGACCTATGTATAAAATTCATGAGGGTAAGGAGTGAATTTACTTTAACTTAATTCAAAGCCTTTGAGATATAATCCTAAATATCTTAAATAGTATAGTAGTCAATAATATCAACTGACAAGGTGGTCTTTGATACACATATAAGTTTATATCTATAAACCTTGAGCCTACCACAAACACAAAATTCTCTTTATGTGACCAGACTGTGAAGATGACTAATATTAGACTCAGCTCAAATTCCAAGTGAGGAGAAAATCAACAGTGAACCAAGGTTATGTATACCCTGGCAATTGTCTATGAATAACCAGCAAGAAAGAGAATGGGCTAGCTTGGGATGCTTTTGTGTTATTAGGTGAAATTCCCTCTTACATAAAGAGATAATGCATAGATGGTAAGCAAATGAAAACCTTTAAAATGAAGAGGTCAACACTGAGTTTTAATTTTATCTTGTGGAATCCTCACTGGTTTATTCTTGAGTAGAGAAAGAGTATTAGGTTTGAATCATTTCAGGCAGTCAAAAAATGCATTCTAATGCTGGATTTCTTGAGTGTTGAGAGACTATGTACCTATAGTCATCTTCACTAAAGCCAAGTATGGAACATAACTTGACAAATAAAACTTTGCTCAAGGGATCCTGAGGAAAAAGTATAAAACCAGAAACTGCCTTTAAAAAGGAAGGATATTTAGGTACATTTTATGTGTCTCTGAAATGACACTAGGTCCATCAAATGGATCAAAAATATATAATGAATACAGAAGAAAGACACAAGATTAAAGGTATGCCATATATGTGCCTTTTTGATTTATAGAACAGACACCATAATTGACATAAACAGCTTTGGGAATCAGCTTTGATAAGGGTGAAGGGTTTTGAGTCTTGGCACACAAAATCTTTCCAAGAAGATAGAAAAAAATTGTCCATACACATTTTTTTATATAAAATAGAATAAATTATAAACTATACAAAATAGACAAAAAGTATTTTTGATTGATTCCTTTCTCTTTTGTCAACTTGATGTAAATTTGTGTTATTGGGGAAGATGAAACCTCAATTAAGAGCATTCTGCTTCAGATTGTTGTGTAGGCAAGTCTGTGGCAGGTACTTTTAAGTTAATGATTGATGTAGGAGTGCCCAGGCTGTGGTTTGGGATACCCTTAGGCATGTGGTCCTGGGAGGTATAAGGAAGGTAGCTGAATGCAAGTCTAGAGAGCAAAGGAATAAGCAGCACTTCTTTGTGGTCTCTGCTTCAGTTCCTGCCTCCAGGTTTCTTGACTTCTTTCATGATGGATTATATTGTGAAAGTGTTAGCCAAATAAATCTTTCCTCCCCAAGTTGCTTTTGTTCATGCTTTATCGCAGCAAAGGAAAGTAGACTAGGACAGAAATAGAGGTTTACAAGAAATGTTGGTTGGGCTTCCTCCCGTATACTATTGATTTTAGAGTCTGTACATTCATGAACAATAATTCGCCAAAGGGTTTACATCAACGAATGTTGTGCATGCCACAGGCAAATATGTATTTGACAAACAGTATTTATACTTATATTTAACTTCACATTCTCCTTTGACACCTCTTCAACCACGTGTTTTCTGTGATTCATAGCTTCACTTGTTTGATGCTTTGTATGCAAGGCTATGTGGTTTTCCTAATTATTGGTCAGTCAGCCTCTCTCTGTCTGTCTCTCTGTCTGTCTCCCTGCCTCTCTCCCTGTTTAGAGGTTGGAGGTTAATATACACCTTGCAATTTTAAAAGGGATGACAAAATTCTACATTTTATGAATGATAAAATGAATAATGCTGTAGCATCTTCAAATTTAATATAAATTGCCCCAATTCTCCATTTTAAGATGGAGAACCAGAATAAATGGATGCTCCTGAGTACTCAATATAACATACAGCATAAGAAAGCTGAGATGAAAATGGAATCTTGATGAAGCAAAAATTTTAAACACATGTTTGTGGGTCTTTCATCACTTTACTGTCCTACAACAGTGGACACAATCCTCTCAGAGCTACGGTAGCACCATGAGTACCCTGACCTGTCTTCTTACAGTCCATGCCCACAGTGTCTCGAGCTGATTTGTGATTGCCAAGGTTAGCAGATAGTCACACAGTGTGTGTTATAAGCCTCAACTTTTTCAACACTATGGTTTTTGGTGTTTGTGCTATTAGGAATGTAAGTACCATTCTGCCCTTGTAGAGGTGACACTACAGTCTAGCATCAGTAGAGGTAGTTTAATTTTTTAACCTTATTTATATAGAATGTATAATCTTATCCTTTCTTGAAAACTATCCTTCTATTCCATAATTAAGGTGCCACTGGTTTTGAGTAGGATTGAGAAAGTGTTGTTTTATTTGTGAGTCTTATTTTATGATTCTTGTGAAATCTTGTGTCATTTTTCAAGTCAAGAAAAAACTTCAATATTTAGAAAAGAATAAAATGTATAAATGATGCAGGCACTGACTTACCATTATCACTAATGGTAAAATGTTTTACATGATTTTTGGAAAGGTTATTTTTATTAGTTAATGAGTGTACATTTGTGATGCTATGCAAAACATTTAAGACTCAATTGCATGAAGCCAAAGATTTTTTCCTTATTATGGTAGAATCCACTGAGCTGTCACACAATATTACCTACTAAAATTGTAGATATTTGTTGAGCATTTACTGTCAACTATTTTTAATTACATTATATTAGAAACAATCATTTGAAGACTTATTGGTATTTTGTGCAAGAGTTATAGGTTTAGATAGATGAGATTACTCATTCAACTACAATGAAGTTGGCTTCTCAGTATGACATCTGATGTCAGCTTGTAGAATTTGCATGCTTTCTGTTATTTACAAACATGCTTGTGAAGGTAAAAAAAAAATAGGTACTTGAGCTATGTAGAAAGCTTTTTGTATACATGCCTGCATATTTAGCATTTGAATAGTGAAACTTATTTACAAGTCATTTTAAGCTAGTCCATCAATAGTTGTTCCTTATAGCTTAAGAATACCTTGTCTATGTCAATTCAGTCCCTGGAGGTTCAGTTTATGAATTGTCACACACGATTACAGCACATAGAACAGAACCTTGTGGATACCACAAATATTACCATTGCAATCAATAAGACATGTCCACTCCACTCTGTCACTGAGTCCTCGCTCATGTTTGTTGCCAGTAAATATCCATATACACCACACACATGCATGCATGCATACATACACCATCTTTAATAGTTAGGACAACATTTATGTCTGGCTGGAAAAATTTAATAATCTTAAAGATATTTCCATCAGAGATAAATATATAAACTAGATAATATATCTAAGTGGCATTAGGTAGTTTTATTTAATTTTTAATTTTTTTTTACACAGGTAGAATTATAGAGTAGGTTCTACGCAAAACAATTAACTGATTTTGAGTTTACTTTAGAAGATATTTGAGATTATGACCTATCAGTTGTTCTTAGACTATTTGTTCATCACATTAACTGTCCTGTCACTATCCCTTAGGATGGCTATGATAGGGGGCAAAAAATTACGTTTGCAATAAGCACAAACTCTCCTTAATTTTATATCGGATACTTCCAATCTATTAACAATGAAGAAACTGAGTAAAGAATTCCCATACTGTGTAATCTAAAGACTTTTGACATCCTTAGCTTAAAGAGAAGGATGTTTTGCTTATTCTATCATATCCTTTGAAGGTCTCAAAAAGGCAAAACAAACACAAACATCCAAGGAAAATAATACACAACCACACACAGACACACCAAAGCCAAACTAAAACATATCCACCTGAGAAGCCAAGAAATGTACTACCTTGCCCCAAACCGGCAAGAATCCGATTACCACAAGGATGGATAGTTACCCATGGCGAAGAAAGGGATTCCCAGCAGGGTGGAGTTGTACTTTCCATCAGTGATGAAGAAGATCCCGGCTGCAGTGGCGATGGAAATGCATACTGTGAGCACCCCCAGGAGGCCCAGGAAGGGCTTACTGCGCAAACAGTCCTTCATGGAGCTGGACAGGGTGGCCGTGGTCAGGATCAGCACGAGGCTCACCAGGACCTTGCTTCTGGTTAGGATGCTGGTCTTATGAAAGTCTCTCCAGAGGCTAAAAGATGCCAGAGAGTACAGTTGGAGGTCTTGGTGCTCATCCTGGAGCTTCCTCATAAGCTTACAGAACTCATTCTCCCACTTCTCCCCTATGAGGTCTTGAGTGGCAGAACCATAGGTCTGGAGGTAGTAGGTGATTTGAATGGCTCTGGCTGACTTGACCCGCTGGTCTTTGCTGTTTGCCACTTCCACTACCCCGCCCAGCTGGTGTCCAATAAAACTGTTCCTCCCATCCTTGAAAACAGAAAGAGGGGAGACTTCAGTTACCAGAAGGATGCACATTCCAAGGGGACAGTTTCTTATTCTAAGTGAAGAAGCACAAGGAAGGCTGGTGATTGTGGAACTGATGTGGGTGGAGAGGAAAGTCAGGCTTTTAGTCTCAACCTTTGGAGCTACATGGGAGACCCTGCATGGTGAACAGGAATAAAGATGATGGAGAGAGAGTTACAAAGCTACATCCGAGTTGCCACATGTATAGGAAAAGGACTGATAAATTTGGATTTCCAAATGTTCTCATTCCTAACATTTTATTCTACAGCAATGTAGACACATTCCTTAACGGCAGATCAAGTTTATGATTCATGCTTAGTTGTAAGTAGCGAACGTGGCAAAGCTCACCTTAGGCCATGTTAAAGACATAGAATAAAATTTTCTTCAATATGACACTGTACTTTCTCTCCCCAGGGCTCCTGGCCCCAGCCCTGTCCTTGTGAGACACCATGAGGGTCTGTTTGTCCCGACCCTCCGGTGGCATGAGTCAGAAAGGCACTGTGTATTCTTTTTCCCTTTTCTGCCTATTTCTTTCAGGTCTGGCCAGAACCTAGGTAAACGGTTTTCCCAATACTTTGGAATTCATTACTTTCTCTAAAGCCTTTCCCCCTGCCGTGTGCCTGCTTGTCCACCATATGTCTGTCCTATGTGCTGGCTTCAATGGCGTGCTTTTTTGTTCTTCCTCCACTTTTCCAGTCTCTTCCTTCAACAGTTTCTGAGTTTTACAGTTTGCCTGCCCCAGGTGTTTTTCTTTTAAATTCTAAAAATATAGTCTTCAAGCTTCAAAGATTAGAATAATCACCCTACATATAAATATGCTAAGCATTCCAGAATTAAGACATGCACCAACATACAGATGAGAAAGACCCTTACTTCCTTATACTACTGAGGTTAAATGGGCAGTTCTGAATAGGGTAAATACCTTTGTAACAGCTAATGTGGTATTGAAACACTCCCTGCATGTGATACAGGCAGTTACTATGCCTGTACAGTCTCCCCACCCCGATCTGATTCTGTATCAGATTTATCTTTTCCTGGAGATAAATTCCCAAACAAGGCTGCTAAGATTTTTCAGGTAGTGTCACCAAATGGTGTCTCAGCTTCAAAGTTGGACTTGAAAGACTGTGGATAAGATCATCATTCTGGGAATTGGGCAAACAAAGTGGTCATTCCTCCTTCAAGCACACCTTGGATGGACACAGAATTACTAGGTATTCTCACTCAGTGACGGTGCTCTCTGATGACCATTGCAAAATTTTAATCTACTTGGAAATTTCATTTTTGCCACCACCATCTCCATACATCAATGATAGTGGGTGATACAATGTTGAGCTCAAAAGCAGGCTCCAGCATGACATATAAGGCTGAAAATATGCTGTTGGTAGTGGGTGAGATGCAAGCACGGAATTTAGTTCACACTGTAAGTAGTTCATATGTGAATGGAGTCAGAAGAGATGATCTCACAAGGGTATAAAAGCATTGATTCTTAGCAGAGAACGTTTCTCTCCAAAGAGCAGGAGCAGCACACTGACCAACGTGCTGACTGTAAGCGATTACACAGAACTGCTGGGCCTCTAGCTAGTACATGAGATAATTATCATGGCTTTCTTTAATCCAGACACCTAGATGTGAGACACTTGCGTTTTGCTTTTAACATGCACAAAAGTAACCCTAGCGTGTATTGCAAACATGAAAAGGTTAGATGTTCAGAGAATACAAATGAAACTTGAAGAATGATCAAACATTGAAAAGAAACAATATCACCATCATACTGTTTACCTGTCCCTACATGAACTATTACAAAAGCTATAGCATGTTAAGAAACTTGAACAAACCCAAATGAACAAATTACTTCTTAACAAATATTTAATTTGAGTTTTCTCCCTTGGTGCATCAACAGCTTCCATGGGATCTTTGTAATCACGTTATTTCTTTTCTTTTTAAAACCAAATGGGAGCTGGCGAAAGGGCTCAATGGTTAAGAGCACTGACTGTTCTTCCAGAGGACCCTGACTCAATTTCCAGAACACAGAAGGCTGCTTATGACCATCTGTAACCCCAGTTCCAGGGGATCTGCCTTTTAATCTGCACTCTCTGGGCACTAGATGCTTGCTGCACAAACTTACATGCAGGGGAAACACCTATACACATAAAATAATGAGTAAATAATAATCAAGCTACAAGTTTAGTTGTAAGTTTCCTTGTTTAAACATGTTAGGTCTTTCAAAGAGGGCTGGCAAGCTTTGAAAAAGGAGATGTGAATTATGCCCCAGAACTGAGTGGTGTGGGTTAAGTTTGTGTTTGTCCACTATACAAAAATTGTTTATTTATTTGGTGTACTTTTATCTAAAAATTGATATAATGTTTTGGTTTGATTTTTACTTAAATTCTACCTTTATTTAAACTTGTGTGTCTGATCATCTGAGAGAGCCCTTATCTCCAAAGTTCTGTTTTGTTTTAAGAATGTGCTGCTATAGGTACCTTAGCTCATTTCTGTCGTTGAAGAAACCCCTGGAGAACTTTATCATTAGCACAAAAAGTTATGTGTCTCTCAGGTCTCACTTGGGGATTATAGTGGACAAGGGAAATGCTCATTGTATGATGGGGCAAAAGTCAAAAATTTAAAGATGTGTAGATTTTTAAATAGCCCAACTGTTCCGAGTTTGACCAGCTGCTAACCTTTCTTTTGAGGTTACCTAATTTCCATTTTTAAATAATAAATACCTTATACATTATAGATATCTTATACCTTAAAGATACATCTTCATTGCATCTTCCCCTCTCCATTGCATTAAGTATATAAGAATGAATTTCTGGTCCATATTTAACTCTATGTACCTGCACAATATAAATGAGGTGTTTTCACATCTTCAATCAAAATTCCATTTGATGGTTATAACATGTGCATGCAGGTGGCTGAGCCAACGTATCCCTCTGCGGTCCTTAGAAACTTAATCAAATATATTGTTGGCACCAGAACATTCTACTATTGGATAAGAGTAGCAAAGAGTTTCTCTTCTCAAACTAATCAATCATTAGATACTTATAAGCAGGAGAAACTAAGATTGAATGCAGCAAATATTTATGTCTTGTAGAGGACTTCCTTGGAGTGGTAATACAGTCAGTAAGGTTAATGCAAAGAATTGCTCAGAAGATTGTTTAACTTGAGTTGTATCATACAACTAATTCTAATTGGGGAAAACATGTACCTGGTCCATTGTCTGTGTCATCTTCAGTTTTCTTATCTTTAATAGGAGGAGATACAAGTACATGGAGTGATGATTATAGGATATAGAAGTTAAGTTTTCAGCTCTCTTGCTCTTCGGGAAAAAATTACTTATATGAAGACTTTGAAGAGACTCGAATTTCAGAAATGATTTTCTTACAACTATTAGGGCAATGGATTGGCTGTTTCAGCACTGGGTTAAGATCTAACTAGTCGTAGGCAGAGCTGCTTTGTTTGCTAGATAAGTGAACCCAGACATGTAGAAAACACATGTTCGTTTTACTAAGACCTTCAGGTGCCAAGTCTAATCCTTTCTAGACCTTCCTGGAGTCAGAGCTGAGAAACCCCCCTGACTCTTGTATCAAAACTTTATTTTACCTATAGTTCCCCTTTCCAACTCCTTTCTCTTCATGTAAGGCTCCCTGCCAGATAAAGTATTGCCTGTCATTTGACTCAGTCTCTTCATTTATCATAGTAATTTTTCTTACATGTTTTGAAATTTTCGTGGGTATAGAAATCACTCTTATGTTATCCTAGGGATATATCTTAAATTTTTAAATGCCAGAATGCTGGTGGCATGCTGATTTCAGTGTTGCCATGTCTACAATACAAGATGATGTCAGGTCTCTGGCTATATCATGGTCTGATTCTGCTGTTCCTCAATCTGCTCTCCACATCATAGCCAGAGCCTACTTATCCAACTGCAAGTGATACCACATCATTTCTAAGCCTAAACCTCTCCACTGGTTTGCACTTGCACTAAGTCTGCAAGAGGGACTATTTACCAAGCCTTCAGAGCAATGTGTACCCACAGGTAGCTATGTCTTCTAACCTTGCCTACTGTTCTTCTGTCTCTTTTGCCCCTTCTGCTCTCTTCCTCATGCTCCTCTTCCTCCTTGAACACATTAAGTTAATTTCCATCTCACGATGTTTGTGTCTGGTGCGCTCCTTGCTTTGAATAGTCTCCTATATTCTTTTCTTTTTTAAATTCTTTTTTTTTCAAGACAGGGTTTCTCTGTGTAACCCTGGCTGTCCTAGAACTCACTCTGTAGACCAGGCTGGCCTCGAACTCAGAAATCTGCCTGCCTCTGCCTGCCAAGTGCTGGGATTAAAGGCGTGCGCCACCACCGCCCGGCTTCTTTTTTTAAAAAAATTGGATATTTTATTTACATTTCAGATGTTATCCCCTTACCACATTTTCCCCCCGTCCTGCCCAGGAACCCCCTATCCCATCCCCCCTCCTCCTGCTTCTATGAGAATGTGCCCCTACCTACCCCTCCCACTCCCACTGCCCCACCCTCGAATTCTCCCCCACATGACGTCCAGCCTTCATGGGACCAAGGATCTCCTCTCCCACTTATACCTGACAGACTTCTCACCAGAGACTATAAAAGCCAGAAGATCCTGGACTGATATCATACAGACCCTAAGGGGACACAAATGCCAGCCCACACTACTATACCCAGCAAAACTCTCAATCACTATAGATGGAGAAAACAAAATATTCCATGACAAAACCAAATTTCCACAATATCTTCCCACAAACCCAGCACGTCAAAGGATAATTGATGGGAAACGCCAACACAAGGTAGGAAACTACAACCTAGAAAAAGAAAGGAAGTAATCTTCCAACAACCCCAAAAGAAGATAGCTACACAAACATAATTCCACCTCTAATAACAAAAATTATAGGAAGCAACAATCATTTTTCCTTAATATCTCTTAACATCAATGGACTC